GATCTCTGAGCCGGTCTGGATATTTGGGCCATGGGGGGTGGGAGGGTGATGTCGATTTTGACTATATTATGGGTTCATAATGTTCATGGTATATCTACATCCATATCTGTATCTATATTTATATCTATATCTATCGGTCTATCTAAGAGTCTATATATATATATATAAATATAGGTGTATATGCACGTGCAGTTAAAGGTTTACGGTTTGTGTCCAGCTCGACCTGTTCAGAAGCAGTGATTTATTGACCCTGGATTGTGGTGGCAACGTCATTTTCGGTGTAGCATTATATATATATATATGTATATATATATATATATGTTAGTGTGGGTAGTTTAGGGTTTACGTTTCATTAAGACCCAAGTACCATTGCACTGCCTTGGAACTGCGCAGGTTGATGATCTTCTGTGCCGGTTTCATGCAATGGCGTGATCAAATGGCACGGGCCACAGTGAGATGCAGGGCAGGTCTTCTCTTACGCGCCAAACGGTCCGTGCTGGATGTAGCACTTCAGCAAATTAGTTCTCGTCTGGACGAGGGCATATGTCTTCCGCTGCAGGATTCCAACCCCTTCATTGGAGCTTGAACTAGCAGTGCCATGCGTGAGCTTTCTAGCAGTAAAGTAGCATTGCACTCGTCTTGTTTCATTATGTGCAGCCTATCAACCCCAAACATTTCAATCCGAAAACTGAGACTGAGACAGTCCTGCTCTATAGCCACGCTTGGAAGGCAACTTCAGGATTTCATGGCGGCAGAAAGCAACCCTACCAGGGGCTCATGCAACTTCCCAACACCGGCGGTGCTGCGGTGGGAGATGTACTCGTGGGAGCGATTTGTGAAGCTCAACGGGCAGCAACTTGCCAAGCAATGCCAACTTGAAGCTTTGTTCAAGCAATATGGCGGGTACTGGCCTTTCGGAGTCTGGATGCCTGGCGATGAGAAATTCCCTCTGGACCATCTGCCCCATGCGGCAGTGGACCTTCCAGGCATTTCTGCAGATTGCACAGACTACCATGCAGCCTTTCTGCTCTCTTTGCTTTCGTCTCTTCCAGAAACTGCAGTGATGCTATACATTGAGGAGCATGAAGAGTCCGCGTACCGAGCCGCAGCAGTCTCCTCCCGTTCCGGCTTGGTCTGCAGAGAGTATGCAGTCCAGTGGGAGAAGACGGATGTTGAGGAGATGCTGGCTATTTGCAGGCGCAAGGTATGCAAGCGGTCGAAGTGGCTGGCTTCTTGCACGAAGCTCGGGGAAGCTTTTTGCACTCCGATTGAGGACTTGTTGGAGTGTCATGATCGGATTGTGTTCATTCCCATGGGCAGGCTTCAGGGACTTGCTTTTTCTGCACTTTGGTGGCGCTCAGCTCCTCTTTTGCACCAACGTCTCTGCACATGGGCAGCTTCTCTGACCATCATGGCATTTCAGCGTCCAGAGGTGGCGGTGCCCATCACCATTCCAGAGAGACGCTTTGGTTTAGTCGTTGGCGCACCGAAGGGTGCAAGGAGCTTCAAAGGACTGCACAGCAGTTTCCGAGAGAAGGCAGAGAACCAAGAGCTACAGCAGCGGCAACGCTGCCGTTCAGCTGGGCGGGACCGCCGTCGGGCACATGGTATGGCCTCATCTTATGTGCACACGCCTTCACCCGTAGATCAGGCTCAGCAACTTCTTCGATGCAGCTCTGTGCCTGCAGACCTCCTCAAGTCGGCGACATCCTCAGACAGATTGGGATTCTTGCCAGCCTCTGAATTGGAGGTAGCGCATTCGTATGCTGCCATGAAAGTCCACGGATGGCTTCCTGTACCTACCATTACAGGATGGCACCTGACGGAAGAGCAGATGATAGCCGTGCGCGACTACACAGATGTTGGAGCAATGGCGGAGGTGGTATCCTTGAGTGCCCACTTTGAAGAATCCGCCAAACCAGAATACTCTGGATTCAACTTGGCTGATGGATCGCAGCTCAGGTTGGGAGTATTTGACTTTGCAATGCCAAAGGCAGACTTGTATCATTTGGGTGGATGCTCGACAGGAACGCCGAGCGAACCCTTGGACTGTTCTGTTTTGAAGCTGCTGCCTCTCGGCCCGCGCTTTGTTGTGACGACAATGTGGCCGATCGCGGACTCTGGTGCCTTTGCCCTAGGCAACGCGTTCATTCAGAGGTGTTTCCAATGCAACCCTCTGCAAGCATTGCAGGAAGCCCAGATGGAGCTTTCGGTGTGCTCCTTAAGACAAATTCAGGACCGCTTGCGAAGCAACCTGGATCGTGGGGATTCATGGCCAGCCAGCACGGTAGCGGATGACTCATGTGCCCTAATGTTGGAGGGCGTGGACAGCCCGGAGGAAGACGAGCTGGCTGGCACAGGAATGTACGATGAGCTTGTTTCAAGAGGGCCGCAGCTGGCGGCACCGTTCTGGTGGGCAGCGTTTAGACTACACTCCAATCCATTGCAATTGATTTGGCCTGACTCAAGCACCGGCGCTGAGAGTGTCGCTCCGGTGCCTGTGATGTCCAAAGTTGCTTTGGGAGACGCTTTTGCACTGTTGCGTCATGCTCCCACAGCCATATGTGCCACGGAAGCAGGCTTCCTCATTCACTCTGACGCTTGGCAACGAAATCTCGACCTTCCACAGTTCTCTTCTGCTTCATATGCTCAACCGACTGGGCACATACCCTTGCGGCAAAACCTCCTGTGGCGTTTAGACAAGTCTTTAAAACTAGAATCGATGCTATATCCGACCATCTCTCTGCAGTGCTCACAGGGTTGGCGTTGCTGTGCTTCGGACAAGGATGGAGTTATTTTTCTGCAATCAACCGCCGAAGTTGTGGCGTGTCAAGCAGGACAGCAACAGCAGCTATGGGCAACAGGAAGCGTGAAGCCATGGCAACTGCCAGGCATGTCCATCCCAGTCACCTGGTGTAAGGAGGGGCATGATCTACTTCGGACAGATGGCTCGCATGAGTACGAGTGCGACATTTGTCGGAAGCGCAAGCAGTCAACACCATGCATGTCTTGCCGCCGTTGCGACTTTGATGTGTGCATGCCCTGTGTCGGAAAGGGTGTGCACTTTGAGTGCATGTGCAAACACCCCGCAAGACCGATCCTCTTTGTGGTCGTTGTGCAAGGCGTACATTGCGTGTCAACTCGCAGCTCCTTGGCAGTCTACGAATACACACTTGACGGATCTGCTTCCACCTCGCAGGTTACCTTCAAGCTAACAGAGGAGTTTGAAAGATTGCAAGATGCCTTTGCCACAGACTTGACTTTCACGGACGGTTCCAGTATTCAGGTTTGGTGCTCTGGCGATCGTTGGCTTTGTGCGGTGAGTCAGCCCACGGGTCTGGACCACCAGGAAGTCGGCCATATCAGGATCCATGATCTGTATGATGGCACACTGCTCAAGTGCATATACTGCAAGAGCCTGAGAGGCTTTGCCGCAGCTGGTGAGAGGGTTTGGGTCAAGTCTGCTGATGGGCTGGTTCTCTTCCATGCTGATGATGTCTACGTCTTTTCCTCGCCCGAGCCTTCAGTTTGTCAGCCTGCATGCAATGATGAGACCATCATTGCACTCGACTGCAACAGGCCCGGTTTGAGAAGTTGGGGCACCACCAACCTGCTAAGAGGGCCACTGTGGAAAGGAACGGAGCAGACGTTGTCAGAGTGCCCTGCACTCAGTCGGCAACATGCAGGAGGATGGTGGCTGAGGGTGCAATATGCATCAGGTGCCTTCGGCCATACGAGTATCTCACCCATGTTCGAATGGACTCTGAATACCCATCCCGCTGCTGCCATCAGTGTGGGGATGCACTACCGTCGGGGCTGATGTTCTCGCTAGGGCACCCCGGGGGCGAAGCCAAGGATGCGACATGGCGAGTCCGAAGGTACAAACTCGAGCCAGGGACCATCATCGCGCGTTGAAGCATGTGCATGACAGAAACTCCGTCGCACGAGCCGCTCATGACATACCCGAACCCTAAACCCTAAACAACGCACGTGATGTTGTAGTTCCATGTGACATGGCTCTGCAAATCCACCCTTTTAAGGGAGGCAGCCCTGGCAGAATCATTTAGGAAGCAACATGTATAGTAATATCCATTATACTTTAATAAACTATGCTCTAGCATCTTGTTTTGACAAGTGTTGAATAGCATGTTCTATTCTGTTAGCTATTTCATATTTTCCTCAATCTGTCAGAGTCTTCAACTAGGCCGATCAAGATCTCGCAGAACCTCGACAATCTTGCAGGATCAGCAAAATTTCTTGTGTGGGCAGCAAGCAAAGAGGCCTTGACCTAACCAAACCTTTCAAAGTGATTCAACTACTTACATGACGCTAACTCCTGAATGAACCATGGCCCACTCTTTCTGGTCCATGTACCCGTACCGCATATGCATCGGCCCTAATGTTCATATATAATGTCAGAACTTTTTGCGGCAACAGTATATGCTACCGTACATGAGCCCGGAGGGCGATGCTCGGAACACAACCCGCCCTCAACCCGCAAAATAGCTCGGCAGCATCGGAAGATTAGAACATTGCCAGAACGTAGAAGAACGTAGCAGCACCGATGCCGGGGATAGCCGTAGCCGTGAGCCGAAGCGTCTGAAGCGACAGCACACAACAACAGCCAGCACATCAGCAGAATTGCTCACGATTGTGATTTAGTAGTATGCACCGGCCAAGCTGACATGAAGTCATTGATGAGTCGTAGAACATGTCGGGTGGCTGTGCCCGAAACCTTGTTCTCAAGAAGAAGGCTGCTGGATTCGAGCCTTATGGTCAGTAACACTTACAGAAAGAATCTCTTTGAAATAAGCCTGAAAGGATGCCACAAAATGAACCCTGATAGAAACTGTTTTAAGCAATCTCTGAAGTGAAGCCCTGATAGAAAGCTTCAAGGGGCCCGGTCTAGAAATCTTAAAGGGGCTTTATTAATAGCCCTAAAGAGCCCTTAACAGCAACCCGATGCCCGAGCCTTGGACCACAAAAACGCACGGTCGGAGGTACTTGAGCTGGGGAAGCGAAGTGACAAAGACCTCGAGGCGCCCCAAGAGAGCAACAAGGGTTCTCAGGGTTTTGGAAGTTTTGGGGTTCAGGCCGGGTTCAGGGGTTCAGGGGGTTTGGGGTTCAGGTTTAGGGGTTCAGGGGTTTAGGGGGTTAGGGGTTCAAGTTTAGGGGTTTAGGGGTTTAGGGTTTAGACTTCTTGGATGTCTAGGGTTTGTTGCAAGGGCGGGTTGATGATCCTCGGATCCAATAAATCAGTCCTACCTATAGTCTCCATTGTAGTTCCTTTTTGGGGATGCCTTATAAACTCCTTAATATATAACTGGTTAAACCAAAAAAAGGAACTACTATGGAGACTACAGGTAAACTTAAAGCCTGATCCTGTAACACTGAAGCAGCACTAAACACCGAAGGACGCCGGAACTCGCCATCGCGTAGCGATCTTGAAGGGGAAGCCTTAAGCAGCTGAAGCCTTCAATTAAGAACCCCGCCTGGCAGGTCGGGAGTGACCCTAAACCCTATAAACCCTAAACCTAAACCCTAAACCCTAAACCCTGAGATGGTCAAGAGCCTGATGAAAGCACGTCATCCTGAAGCCCCGCATCACAACGCCAAAGCAAAACTTGAAGACCCTGAACCCTAAGACAGGCGCCTTTACACTTACCTATACTATTTTGTGGGTTCCTTACTATAACCAAAAAAAAGGTACCCCCCCCCAAGACTCTAATTATGAAGGCCCCTACATGAAACCTCGGGAGACACCCGGCCGAAGACCTAAAGCATCGGCTTTGGTAGGAACTGGTGGAGGGGCAAAACGCCGCCGTCGCACCACGGCAGCAAAGAGTCGATATTTCTGAGGACCGGGACATGCAATAGGGTTCGGAATGTCTAGCCATATGGGTAGTTCTCTAAATTAGGGCCCCTTTTTAGGTCCCCAATATAGTACGGCACCCTTATAACAAGGACCCTAAAAGCGACTTCGGGAAATGGATTTAGGCTTTAGGGTTCGCAGTATTCAGGTTGTGGTTGTTGCACTTGTTTTTTGACGTTTGACCGCCGGGTTTATCTGCATGCTCTGGATGGAGCAGCCGGCTGGCGTCGAACCCAGCTAAGACCCAGTAGCGGTTCTTGCAATTGAAACTCTGGTCTAGATGGGGCCTAAACCCTAAACCCTAAACCGTTACAAGGGTTCCCGGTAAGGCCTCGGCACATCACTTGGAGCAGCCTTCGGGAAGCCTTGCGCAAAACTCACAAACATTTTGCAAACATGTTTGCAGCCACCCACGCAACAACTCCAAAGCCCCAAAACGCAGCTAAAGCCCAAAACGCAGCTAAAGCCCTAAACCGGAAAATACTTTAAATCCTACGACCCTAAAGCCTAAACCCTAAACCTTAAAATACCTTAAAATCCTAAAGCCCTGAAACTCGAAACTGTAAAACCCTCAGCCCTGAGCCACTAAACCTTAAAACCCTAAACTCCAAGCACCTAGAACCTCAAAGCCTTACACCTTAAGAATACCTGAACCCTGAACCCCTGAAGCCCCAACACCCCTAAACAGAAAGGGTTTAGGGTTCAGGGTTGAGGGTTTATGGATTTTAGGGCTTTGGGTCCGGGGTGTATAGAGTTTGGGGTTCATAGAGTTTACAGAGTTTGGGGTTTAGGGTTCTCAGGTCGTGACCTCCGAGGGCAGCGTACGGGTGCCCCGGCCAAGCCAGCCCGTCGCAGTCGCAGGCCTCCCTGTCAGGGCTCTACAGGGTCCCCCCTTTAAACCCTAAACCCTAAACCCTACACCCTAAACCCTAAACCCTAAATCGTAACTTTAGGGTCAAGGGCTGAAGGGGTTTTCAGGCTCTAGAGCTTTAGGATCCCTTTCAGGGTTTAAGGGGTTTGGGGTTTTAGGGTTTGCGGTTTTTAGGGATGTATAGGGTTTCGGGTGTTTAAGGCTTCATAGGTTTAGGGTTGAATTAAGAGGTTTTACTGCTGTATGGTACACCGGTTTAAGGGCTTGGGTAGTTCAGGGCTTGAGGGGTTTGACAATTTAGGGTTCAGGGTTTTAGGGTTTCCTGCGGTAGAGTTTAGGTTCTAGACTCTTTAGGGCTGTACAAGTGTTTATGTGTGTGTATATATATATATATATAGGCCATAGGGTTTAGGGCACTTTGTTATAAGGACTGCGTGCCACCTTCTTAAGTGTTCCCAAAACAGGGGCTTTCTTGTCGTTCGCCGTCGTTCCCTCATTACAGTACTTGTAGTGTAGAAGAGAGATGTTCCAGGTGCCGAATTTCTTGGCCAAATCTTTCTTTCGGCTACGGGCATCATGCGTCTATGCCGAACGGGGTTGATGTCTTTGTGCACGAGTGTGCTTGCCGCTCCTCCCTCCATTTCACGTCACCCGAAGTTGTTGATAATCCCCAAACCCCCTTAAACCCTAAACCCTAAACTCCCTAAACCCCCAAAACCCTAAACCCTAAACCTTAAACCCGAAGGCGGGCCTGCTCGCACAGAAAAGGTCACTACACTTAAAAAAAACCTTAAACCCTAAAAGCCCTGAGCCCTAAACCAGAGGCATCAGGTGAGCTGTTCTGCTTTTGCTCCACCCTCCGGTGACCTCTCTCCCCGCAGCCTCAGCTCTGATCTCGCCCCAAGGACCATTTGCCCGTAGGCCCCATAGTAGTTCTTTTTTGGGAGTACCTTAGAGGAATCAATTTTTGGGTTTAGGGTTCCTTTTTGGGATTACCTTATAGGATTCTATATATGAACCCCCAAATGGAACTACTTTAGGGCCTATGGGTAGACCCCACGCCCCCGGCCCTGCCCAACATGAACTGAATCCCATCTGGCCGCCCTAACGTAGCGCCATATCCGAGAATCCTAGAGCCCCTATCAGCAAAGAGCACGAGTGAAACCCTAGAGAGTAGATTTGGAACCCGAAATATCCGACCTGTTTGCGGGCTTGTGTAAAGAAACCATAATAAGGAGCCCTACACACCCTAAACCCTAAACCCAAAATCCTAAACCCTAAGCCCTAAATCCAAAATCCTAAACCTTATAAACCCTAAATCCAAAATCCTAAACCCTAAACCCTAAACCGTAGGTTCTTTAGGGTGAACATGAGTTCAACTCGAAATCTCCAGGCCCTGTGCTGGGGCCGGGTAACCTCCCACGCACGGAGGAGGACGTAGCCAAGCCCCGGCCTGAGGGCGATGAGGGTTTAGGATTTAGGGTTTAGGGTTTAGGATTTAGGGTTTAGGATTTGGGATTTAGGGTTTAGGATTTAGGGAATTTAGGGTTTAGGATTTGGGATTTAGGGTTTAGGGTTTAGGATTCAGGGCTTCGGGTTTAGGATTGAAGGTGGGTTGCGGCCATTATCATGACCTCATAGGGACCCTAAGGTGCCTTTAATATCCCGTATTCGGACTGTGTAAGGGTTTTGGTTTTAGTAAGGCCGGTTTAAGTAAGACAAGTCCTCTATCCCATACTAAGGGGCCGTATGGTGACCTTACCTTGGCATCAGGTTCGTGTACAATCATCATCATCACCATCATCATCACCATCGCCTCAAATTTATGAGCATCATCTACGCCTGAAAGTGAGACGCTCTCTGGGGGTGGCTCCTGCAGCTCCTGTCGTTTCCATCGAGTCTCAAGTAGAACACAACCCACTCCTAAACCCTAAACCCCTAAACCCCTAAACCCCTAAACCCCTAAACCCCTAAACCCCTAAACCCAAAACCCTAAACCCCAGTACAGCACTACAGAGTTTGGAGGCCAAGGGGCTCACCCGAAACCCTAAGCTTCAAGCCGACCCTGGGAAGTTCAACGGCCTTGCAAACCCGAAGCCCCAAACCCCCCTGAAGCCGAGTTCCTGAGTGAGGGATGTCCCAAGACAGACGGAAAAAGGTGTTCAAACCAAAAAAAGGCCACTGAAGAAGAACAACCGACGTCCGAAACCCTAAATCCCACGCCCTATAAACCCTAAACCCAAAAAAAACCCTAAGACCCCTGAAACCTACCGCAGGTTGATACTGGAGCACGACAACACTCCGGTAGAAGAGCTCCGGAGGCGCCCCAGATGAAAAGGGATCCTATAATGGCTCTGTAGAAATGCAACCTTTTGGGGACCCTATAATAGGGGCGCTCTGCACATATTTTTCAAAGGGATCCGTTAAGGGACCCTATAATAAGGGCGGGCTTTACATAGTTTTAGAAAGGGATCCTTTAATAGACCCTAAAATAGGGGCGCTCTATACATGACTTTTAGAAAGGGATCATTTAAGGGACCCTATACCAGGGGCGCTCTTTACATATTTTTGTTAAAGGGATCCTTTAAGGGACCCTATAATAGGGGCGCTCTTTACATAAATTTAGAAAGGGATCCTTTAAGGGAAGTTTATCATAGGGTGCCCTTGAAAGGGTACTAGAGGGTTGTAGAACAGGCTCCCCTTAGGTGGCTCTTGTTTTTTCGGGGGTGGTTTGGGGGTAGGGATTTGGAGTATTAGGGATTGCGCTTCATTTGGGGTTTCCGACGGGCTTAGGAAGTTTGGGGATGTAGCGCTTCAGGGTTGAGGGCTTAGGAATTTAGCAGTTTAGCGGGATGAGGGGATGACAATGTAGAGGTCTAAATAGTTAGCTGCTGGGTTCTTGAAGCACAGGGGTCGAACTCATGTTCCCTGACCGCCTGTATGAATGCATAGTGTAATATACCCCCCCCCCATCAAAAACATAATCCCTGTTCTACTTGTTATTGTGCCTATAGCATGATCAGGGACACTGAATCCTAAATTTCCTTAATACTGAACCCGACTGAACCCTAAACCCAGAACCCTTACATGCCAAACGCTAGAACCCCGAACCAAACACAAAAACAGCCTCGGCAGCTCGAGCTGAGACTGGCAGTCAACCGGCGGTTGTTGTATGTTGGCTCTTGCATAGGAAGCCCCGAGCCATAGATGGGCACGTGAATAATCCCAAGTAGAAGCCGGAAGCGTGGAACATCATAATATCCTTGTCCTTGAGGATCATTAAGGTGAAGACTGGAGAGTTTCAATCATAAGCTTATGTTCCAATGCAACAAGGTTGACGGGGTGGGCCGGCCTCTTGTAATTCAAATCCAGAATCCTGAATCCTACAGCCCTTCCATCCTAAACCCTCCCTCACGCCTACACCCTGATCCCTGGCAGCCCTGAACCATAGCTCTGATAGCCGTGCAGCCCTTAATGAAATTTCTCCCGTCTCGAACCCGGAACAATCCCTTTCCGATGGGTTCAGGGTAGAAGTAGCAAAGCGAAGAAACCCTATAGCAGAGTGTAAGCTCTATATATATATATATATATATATATTTATCAACTCAGTTTCACCCCGCACCTACTACACAAGCCATACGAGGTTTCACGACGAAAGCTTATATACAACCGTGTGTGCACCCCCAGAACAGACCCTGCGAAATCCTAGCCGAATACTACAGTGCGATCACAGAAGGCCTATACCGGGAAAGTCACACCACCCTGAACCCTAATGAAACCCTCAACCCTTTCTCCCGCCAACACAACCTGCATAGAATCGTACAGAACCTCCCGTAAAAGACCTTCTACACGAAAGCCTCAACTGTCATCCTTTGTCACGAATGCCTCAACTGTCATCCTTTGTGGGTGTCTTGTATGAAGGCCTATAGCTAGACATTCTGAATACCCTAAACCCCGAACCCTAAACCCTAAACCCTAAACCCTAAACCCTAAACCCCGAAACCCCTAGCCCCTAGACCTGACACCCATAAACCCCTAAAGCAGTAGACCCTAAACCCTAAACTTTGAACCCTAAACCCCTAAAAGGCTAAAGCCTGAATCCTAAATCCTAAACCCCTCAGCTTCTGGGAGAAAGAGACACTGCACTTTAAAGCAAAAAAATCCTAAAGCCACAAACCCTCTATCTCCTGAGTAAGTTGCTGCCATCCCGAGCTCTCTGCTTCGACCCTAAACCCTAAACCCTAAACCCTAAGAGCCCCAAAACGCATTCTCCGAGAGCCGACGGCTCCCCGGAGGTTTGTCCTCCTTGGGGCCGTGTCAGGCGCCAGAAGCTCAGCCATAACACACAGGGGGTCTGTTTTCCCATAGGGGATTATGAGGGTTTAGGGTTTGAAAAAATCTTGGGTGTTGGGTTTAGGAGTGTGGGATGGGTTTAAGGTTTTAGGGGGGTCTAAATTCGGGTTTTGGGGTGTAGGGTTAAGGGTATAGGGTTGCGGGGTCTAAGTTGCTGTTGCTTTGGGTTTAAGGGTGTTAGGTTTTAGGGTTTTGGGGCTTGAGTTACGGGTTTAGGGTTTTTGGGTTAGGGGCCACAGGGTTTCAATAGCAAAAGATTTTTTGCAAGGGCCGTCTTAAGGGCTTTCTTTATGACACAGGCGTTTAGGGCAAAGTAAGTTTTCCACTGAAGGGTCATTTTCAAGAGCTGGAGAAGGGGTCTCAGAATGTATGGGTCGGCAAAGGTTTCAAAGTAATTTGGCCTTTCACGCAACAAGTAATAGCTCTGTCAGGGGTTCAGGGTTTCCTGAAATATAGCCCTTCATAAACCCCCTTACGAAGCCTGGAGTTTTATCTTCTCCACTCTTCTCAGGCGTTGCTTGGCTTCTTCGGTGTTGGTCCGGCGTGGATGCGGGGGCCCCGCCCTGTTCCGGCTCCAGCTGAGGATGAGGATGGGCTTATTGCCTTGGTGAACAGGAAATACTAGTTCCGAACTAGTCTAAGACTTCTAAGTGGACATCGGTTGTCTGTGTGCTGGACCTTATCTGAGCACAGCGAAGGCTTCTCTTCTACACATGAGTGCAGGTTTTGTTGGGGGGTCTCCCCACACCCTACATACAAAAACCCAAGTCCGACCCACGACCGTCGAACGAGATTGGCACCGATCCTGACGCGCACGTCTCCAGAATGGGCGCAGATAGCGGCCACGGCTACAGGCCTGGTTTTTCATGCAGGGGAGTGGCATCAGTCAGGAGTCGTGCAGGTTTTGCATGGAGACGTGTTGTTTGGGGCGTTTCGGAGAGTATTTGTAGGCTTTGAGAGGTTACATGGTCATGCACGCATGTTTCAGGCTTCTACGGCTCGGGGCTGCAGAGTTGTGAGGTTCCGGGGCTTAAATTGAATTGCCCGAGTTTCCAAAGTTCGAAACAGGGGGCACTAAACGAGAGGACTTTGATTATCAGGATCCTCCAAGACGCGACCCTTTTTCTTGAAATCCCCCTGTGCGAATCCAGGACAGCTTGGAGACGGGTTTCTCTGTTCTAATTATGTCATTCCAGAGGTCTTTGCTACAGAATAGAGCTCTCAAGGGAACACAGCTAAAACCCTCGAGCCCAACATCCCCAAAACCCGAAGCCCCAAAAGCCTCCAGGGTTGATAGCTATCCCTAACCCTCCAGGTACCTACTATATAGGGGCCTAGGGGCTCTAGTACCCTATACAGTAGGTACCTGGGGGGTTAGGGTATTATTAGGCTTCTGGGAGGCGTAGAGAACTCAGAGATCCTTACATAAACTCCTTTGCTCCGCAACAGCCTTGTGTAGAGTCTGCCAAGGAAAAGCCGACGGCTGCAGAAGCCTAAGCAGGTACCAAGAGTTTTCACTAGGGTTTCTTGTTGATTCCCTCAAAACCCTATTCTTATCGCCTCCCTTCTAGAAGTACCAGGATTGCTCATTAAGGGTTCCTTATTATACACCCCCAAAAAAAACCTATCCTAATTGTTAAGACCCCTGCATCGCTCTCCGGGGTTCGACTTTGCTGATTCGGAACGAGCAGGAGGAATAGGCACAGAGGTCCTTCATATACCCATGACAGCCCAAACCGTAAACTCCTAATCCCCAAATCCCTAAACCCTAAACCCTGATTAATCCATGACATGATCCTCTCTAAGCAGAGCTTTGCCTGCAGGCCGGGAGGACCAAACCAAGTACGCAGACACGTGCTGAGCTCAGCACTCTGTTGAAGAAGCTTCATGCTTGTGGATTATCGAGTTTAGGGTTTAGGGTTTATAGGGGCTCTTACTGTACCCTGCAGAGTAGCCCTGTAGCAACACTGATTGCTTACAGGATCCGTTAGAGTTGTAGTGACACTCTGATTTCCCTTGTGATGGTTTTGCAGCCTCTTCCTGAGCCTGCTGGCAGATGGGTTCTCTAAATTAGGGCCCCTTTTAGGGTCATTCTGTTAAGGGTGCCGTGTTATTTGGGGACCTAAATAGGGACCCCACTTTAAAGAAGTACCCATATAGCACCCCATACTTAAGGAACCCTGAAAGGGTCCAGTTTGTTAATCCATCAAACCGGCAAAGCACAGTGTCACCTTGCCGAGCAAAACAGTTCGAGCAGTGACAACATTCAGGATATGTATTGACCAAATGTGAGTAATGACTGTCCCGTTAGGGTCCTTTCATAAGGGTGCCTCACCATTTCGGGGGATCTAAACAAAGCCCCGAATTTAGAGAACTATTCATGCGCTTGCATTCGTAGCCGCAACGAGAGTAGCGTTAACACGAATCCAACCTCCGTCCATGGAACCGGAGGAGGTCTTCGTGAAATAGACATTACTGCTATTAGTACTATTCATTATTACCAGTATTGTCACTGTTACAAGTTAGTAGTAGTTTCTTTATGCATACGATTATAGCGAATCTTGATACTATTATTACGATTATCCTAAACCCTAAACCCTGAATCCTAAACCCTTTATGACTTTCAGCTTGTCTTCACGGCCGGGATCGCTTAGGCAGTTCATGCCGCCCGTACAGAGAGACGAGGCGCGGAGCATCTTTCAGAGGTTTCCTTTAAGGGGCACTACAAGTCATTATAGTTTAGGGTTTAGGGTTTTGGGTTTTTGGGTTTAGGGTTTAGGGTTTAGGGTCATATTGCCCCTTTAGGGTTTGCTACTAGGCTAGGTGTTCTTCATGGGATCCTACTTATGGTGGCGCTGATGGACAAGGAGTTCTACGAAGCCCTGCTATGCAAATACCATACTGAAGCTCCTTTAAGCATTCTGCTGGTTCGCGTGAGGACCATGATGAACAATGTCATGACGATGACGATGAGCATGATCTTTGCTAGGATGAACATGATGATAATGAGGACAGGGATGATGCAGATTGCATTCATGTACATTCCTTTCTCATGCTATCGTTTTCGTTTTCGTTTACTATCGTCAGAGAAGTTGTGCCTGTGACCCGTGCGCGATGCTCCCGGATTGGTTCCATTTGCTTTGCCTGTCGTTTGAAGTGAGATGTTTACTTCGGCAGTTTTTTGTTAGTAAGCTACTATTCGAAAGATATTCGCGGCAACTCGGTAGGCGGAGCGGATATGATCCGGATATGCCTGTCAAAGACATGGCAATCGCTGGCTGGCAGTAAAAGTTGTTGCAATTTTTTGAGTGTTACTGGTAGAAGCGGACTGAGAAGACATCTTCGACGGCGATTCTGAATGCCACAGTCACTCCACGTAAACCCGGAAAGGGTGAAGACTAAAGACCCAAAACCTTAGCCAAACCTGTCAATCGTTGAGGCTGCCGCTGAAGGTCCGCAAGGAGCCGCTGTCGAAGTGGAGAGTGTTTTCATGTGGTAACTGCAACGAGACTGCGGCTCCCCGAGTTCCGCTCACCGCTGTGGAGTTCAGAAACTTGCGCTCATGGACTCTCTACCCTAAACCCTAAACCCAAAACCCTATAAGTCCTCAATTCCTAAAACCCTATACCTCCTAAACCCTCTCTGGCCCATGCCGGAGCAGGACCACTGTCCTTTGCCTCCGACCTCATCACCACCGCGGGCTGCGATGAGCGAACACGCAGGTACGCTCTTCATTTTCTCGAAGACTGTAAATACAGGGGCCTAAATAATTACCCCATATATGGTCAGGCGCTCCGCGGCTCCCCCCCCCTCCCCCCTCAATGGTACATGGTCCAGGACCCCCCCCCCCTCCCCCCTGTGGGTGGGGTGTCGGGTCCCTCTTCCCCCTGTGGTGTGGTTGTGGGGTTTCGGGGTTTAGGGTTTAGCTCAAGCTTTCGAGTGTGGGGTTTAGGGTCTAAAGTTAAAAGTTATAAGGCTGCAAATCGACAAGAGCTTAGGG